ACGTACATTTTGGTGATTTCCTTGCTGGATTATGAATGTTGCTCTATCGACTCCTTTTGTAATGTACTTGAAGAGATATTTTATTGCACTTGACTTATTGTACCATTCCACATTAATATGTGCTTTGTATTTCTTCAGAATATTAACATAGTGAGGCACAACATACCTATTATCCAGCTTTATTTTCCCCTTCATTATAACCCGTTCAGTTTGCCGTCGTCTGTACAAGATATAACCAGAATCGTTCACTTTGGTGTGTGGCACAAACTCCCTTGAAATTTTTTTCCCACAAAGCCCTTTATCCATGTATGGAGAGGATGGACGGTCTTGTCCACAGGGACCATGCATCATATGCTGCTCTACCAGTTTATAAGCCTCAAGATCTTTGGTTTCATCTGGAATCTCAGCTGAAATAAATTTATCAATATCTTCTGTGGTTGGGTTTTTGAAATCTCCTTTTAGCCATAGAAGGATGTGTGCATGTGGCAATCCTCTCTTTTGAAATTCAATTGTGTATACAACTAATTTAATAAGAAAAAAATTAATCAGATATTTGATTTTAATGGATATGAATAATTAGTTATTAGATATTAAACTGTTATAATAAAAAATACTTGCAATGGGTGGAGGGAAGCAGAGTCCTTTGTTGAAATCAGCTAACAATTCATCAAGTTTTATTTTGAACACTCGACATTATAGATCAGGCCTGTCGTTTGGTTCATCGTTCCCATATGTCTTCAAGTGCAATGCTATTTCTTCCCACTTTGGATTAGTTGTCATAGTGATGAACAAATCTGGGTTTCCATACCAGCGACATATAGCCATTGCATCATGATATTTTTCAATCATGTATCGTGGACTACCTGTGTAGCTTGCTGGTAGGATCACTCTTTTACCAATCGACTTTGCATCAGTGTCACCTCTGGTAACTGCATCTTTGACATTGTTATATAGATCCGCTCTGAGTTTTTTCTGGTTTTGTCGATACCAACGTAATCTTTCTTGTTCAATTGCCGTATATGCATCCACAATGTATTGATGAAGTAAACGCTTGGATCTTATTACAGTCATGTCTTCCTGAAGGCGGGTTTGTATCTGGTAGGCATAGAATTCCCTTTTAGTGATGAATTGTCTTTTTCGCCTACTCCCATCTCTTTCAACAATAGGAATAGCTTCATGGTATCCAGTTTCCCCGTATGGGAAGAGAAGAGGATACTGTAAAGTCATGAACAGAGGATGTAAATCACTTATTTGTTGTAGTCCTGATGACTTGTGATTTACGATCACATCTCTTTCACCAATAGCAGTAGTTAAGTCACCTACAATTAGACCAGCTATTTCATCGGTTGTTGGCATGTCATACTGCCTTCCACGTTTCTTTTGGGAAATCAGCCGTATGCTAAACTCTGGACACTCGCCCTTTTCATACACATCTCTTGCCTTTCTGAATATTTTTGCCAAACAGTTATACGTGTCCACTGTGTTGATAAGGTCTTTCACTATGATCTTATCCAACTCTCCCGCTTTCGTGGTTCTGCTAACTGCGTAAATTCTGTTTTGTACTTTGTTTGCTGTATCAAAAATGTAGAGCTTCCCAAACTTTGGGTTGTTCCCTTCTTCTGGCAGTAAAGAACCAAATCTGTGGTAATTTTGGCCATGTATCCTGAAAGTGAATGGTCCGGTTTTGTGCATGACGGAGTGATCTATCTGAGCTCCCATTGACGTAAATGCAAGAATGGAGTTGTATGTCCTGATATTTTGCTGGTAGTGAGCTGACTCAGTTGAAAGTTTTTTTAAGTACTGGTGGTGGCTGTGGCTCTTCTGGTAAGTGAACTCTTCCTTGCTGACAGCAGATTGAGAACAATGGTACCTTGTGTATGCCTTTTATTCCTATTTTTTCTTGCTTCCACATCAAAGCATTACAGAATGGGCATTCTAGCATACCATTTAAGTTTTTGGAGGACGCAGCTGGTTGTACTTTTGCAATCCCTGTAATTGTGTGTTGGTAAATATATAAAAGAGCATCAGATGAACAGTTTTTTAGATATCTATATTTGTTTAATTTTAAGCAAGCATTGGACACTTAAAGTAGACATGTACTGTTAACCATTCCTTTAGCTTTTTTTAGCTAGTAGTACGGCTCGTCGCATCTGTCTCGCCCTTTTTTGGTCGGCTGCATATGGTAGTAAAAGTATTAGGAGAGATTTATAATTGAGGATATGAGCAGTATGGGGTTTTTAAAGTATTACTACCTCGTCGTGTGCATATTGAGCATCGACATTCTATAGCTTGTTCAATCAATCCTGTTAATCATATTGAGAAATTGTAAAATTATGTTTGCCAATGTAGGTTAATGAAACGGTGTATTTTTTTATATTGTAGTTATTTTGTTTCTATCATCCATTTACTTTCATTTACCAACATGCTCTGTTTCTCTGCATTTGAAATTGCTTTCCTTTTTTTCTGTACTGGATTTGGAATCTCTGCATCCGGTTTCCTTTTCGCTGGTGTTTTTACTCTCATACTTGGGTGGGTGTTGTTGAATTTTAAGATTCTGTGATGGTCCTTCTTCTACTGGTGTTATATATTGTTTTGGTTCTGTGATAATAATGGTCATTGTGGAGTTGAAACGTTTGGTGGAATTTTAAAAGTCCACGTAACTGCTTCATTTTGGTTTGTGTATAAGATTGTTGAAATATTCAATGTTTATGATTGTAATATGTATATCATTTATTATATGCGGTTCATATTGTATGTTGTCATGTTGAAGTATCTCATATATGATACATGTGAGTAAGAATATAATTTACTAATAGAGTTATAGATGTGAACTTTAGTAAATATTTTGATGTGAGTATATGTTATACTTTATTTGGTCTTCGTGATAATGTCAGACTGTTTGCGATTTTTCCCAATTATGTTTTCCATTTTTGCTTTTTTGTTCTCATAACTTTCACTGCAATGATGTAGGGAAGGTCTGCTCGAAACTCAAATCTGATGTGTCGCAGTATAGTGTAAGATAGTTTATATTTGTGAATCAACATTAGGAAGATAAAAGGAGACTATTTCTCACTCAGAAATAGTTACATCATGCAGACAAACTTGTACATTTGTTTGTAGTAAAAGCACTTAGCACATGTGTTATCCATGTCGTCGCGGTGACAATAGATTGCGGGTGTCATCTTGTTAAGTGATTTCACATAGCCTTTTTTTCCTGATGACTCTAATCCCATGCAATGCTACTTTTAGATTTTCCCAGCACATGTCTACTGTTGTAATGTCATCCGCCCATTTCAGTTGTGCTAAGTATTTCTTTCCTTTTTCAGTAAAGTCGATGCATAGAAGAATCAGAGCGTAAATGTACGTAGCTTCTTTGTGGCCCGCGTTTGCCGCTACAGAAAAGTGATGGAGACCAATGTACTTGTTATTTTTAAGGAAGTATTCTAATATACCTTTGATATAGTTTGCATCGTTGTTGTTATTCGCAAGACAATTCTTCATCACTGTGTGGTAATTGTTTGCAGCTATAGGTTTCTTCAGGAGGGGTGCAAGGCTGAGTTTTTGACAAACTCTTTTGTCTGTGGATGAAGCACGTAACTCTTTGCATGAAAGAATGCAGTTGTGGTAATCCACATGAGAGTCAGCACCGACTTTACACACTATTAGACCAAGCAATCTTGAGGTAATGATTCAATCCGGCTGACATGTTTTTTGTTTGGATCCATTTTTTTTTTTGGAATAAAAAAATTTGATAGCGTAGTTGTTGTGATGGATATAGAGATCTATTTAAATAGGCAGTGGATGTTTATTGCTGGTCTTTTGAAATTCCTGTACATGTAATTTAGTGTGCATAATGTGTAGTTATTATGTTTTTGTGGCATGCGTTCTTCATTTTCCTTTAGTTATCCGAACGTTAGAGTGAGTTAATATACTTGTTAGTGTGGTGGTGGGGAGGGGGTGTGTGGGACGATATTAATATTGTGTTAGATGGTGCTATAACTATAATTATTTGTGTATTATATATTAAATAATGTGTATTCGTGTGGAAATAGGAAATATGGTTGTATATATATGTCTTGCTTTTTTGTCGACTTCGTTACCCTAGCTCCAATACCTTTTGAGATTGTTGTTGGCGTTATTTGAGGCTTTAAATGTCACCTGCTTCTATGATTGTATGAGGTGTACTCTTTTATCTGAATTAGTACATAAGGTTTTCATTCTGTATCGGTGTGGTTGCATGATTATGTTCGTAATAGATGTTGGGCAATGATTCATATCTTGGGTTATTGATCGCCAGAATTAAATGTCTTTCAGTTGTTCCAATTATTTCGTGTATATAATGTAGAAGAGTACAGAGTTAGAGATTGTTTGGATGTTCTTGTAATCTGTTTTTTAAATGAATTTATAGATATTTCTTACGGTTTGCAATCCCGGTTTGTGTTATTTGAAAATTAGGAAGCACATGGATTTGTAATTTATATTGAATATTTGCCATTTTGTGAGTAGGTGTGTTTGAATTCAATTGCTGTGAATGTTTCTGCCCCTATAAGGTTGGGAGTTGTAATTATTTTGCATTTCTTAATCTTTTTTTAACAATTATCGTATGTTGCAATTTTGGTGGTCGAAATATGAGTTCTTGGTTCGTGTTATACATATGAAATTATAACTCTGTGTAAGCACGTAAACATGAAGGATAGAATTGAAACACTAAAAGTTCGTCCTAGTTTCCCTTTATTAATACCAAATTGTGCTTAACATGGAGGATAAAATTGAAGCAGAAAATGTTCTTCACGTAGAAGAAGGTGTAAATGAAAGGAAATGCAAGAATAAAAAACGACTTAAAAAAGCTAGTTTTGGGAAAGACGGAGTGGCTTTCATAATGGCCCTACTCACGTGGGCGTTTATGTTTCTTCTCATCATCACCCAAGTTTGGTTTTGGGCCTGCCTTTGTAGAGATGTCTGTTTCAGTCAACTTAAGTTGGTTTTCCTTAGATGTGTTAGGTACGTCCTGTGGACTTCCGCCCTCTGTGTTTGTGCCCTTTTCCTGGTGTCATTTTGGTTTGCAGAATATGATCATCTCCTATTATTTACAAAGTTATAAATGAATTTAATAATAGTACCTGTGAACCATCACCAAATATGGTGTCATGAGTCATTGTAGAGACTGTGAATGTGCGATGCGTCGGAGTAAAGTTGTAGGGGGTGACTCTTATTTGGAAAATGAAATGCTTGTCCGCCATTGCTTGAAGACAGGCAGGCAGTTCATTTCCGTTAGCTCCATCAGCCTAGAATGTTTGTACACTTTTATTCTTAGGATGTCTGTACTGGACTCTTCTAATATGGGGAAGATGCAACTCTCGTTTTGGAATACATATCTGTTCGAGAATGAGGGTAGATGCAGGTTTGTTTGTAATTTTGATCATCTCAGAGTCAAACACGAGAAACGTTGCACTATCTTCCCCATCATCAACAGCTAGTTCAACTCGGTATCTGTCCAAATAATTTCTATGTTAGTTACAACTTACGGATAAGTATGTCAATGGTAGATAATTTCTATGTGGTTTATGAAGTTGGTACCTTGGAACGCCTGTCACCTTCTGTGACACGCATTTGTTGCACTTAAGGTCCGTCCCACTTCTGCTTAGTTTCCGGCTACATGCAGCACATGAAATATAGGACCAACCATTTCTTTGAAGTACACCTACTACACGTGCTTTGCACACAAAGTCAGCTTCCTGTGTCTTCATTGGATTGTACAATAAAACATTAGTGGTGAGGTGGTCGTGGTTAGATAATTAAGTTAGATAATTAAGTTACGCTTATTTTTTTTGACATACCTGCTCATTAGATTTGGAGATAAAGTCATGGAGTTCTGCAATTGAAACAGACTCCTTCTTTCTAATACCGTTCTTTGTTTCTGTTTGCACAAATGGTTCAATGGCTTGTATTCCCATCCTACATGCATAAGATATAGATAGTGATTTCAGTATTGCATTACGAAGGTGTTTATTGTTAATATATTTTGTGTGTCAGTAAGCTAAATAAATCGTAAGAGAGTATGGAGAATTTTTGAAAACCTTGTGGTCAATTGTTGGATTGCATGGATGTTACTATCGAAATAGAATATGGTGGCAGGTGTCGAATTCAGGTATAGATTACCTATTGAACAGAGCATATGAGGAAGTGTTGTAATTAATATTTAAAAGACTCGTCATGAATTTTTTTGTGTTGTTGTGTTAAAGCAGGCCTAATACATACCTCCAAACAGCTTAGGATTAATGGTAGTAACCACCATTACTGAATGCATTGTGTCACCAGTGGTCAGGTGTGCCCAAAAGGTTGCAGCAGCATCGTCCCAGAGAGAGAGGTAAACAACAACAGATCTGTGTGAGTTTAGTGTTAGCTGGATGGTTTTGTAATGAGTGTGTGTTTCAATAGGGATCTGATTAGGAAGACTTACGTATCAACACGGAAACAAACCACCAAGCGTTGTGTGGAAGTTGGATCATCAAGGTTTGACCCTTGAACAAACTGGATCTGGCCTACCACGTCTGTTGAACAAAGTGTTTGTTAATGTTGTATCACGTGATACTGGATGAGTTGTATATTGATGAGGATATTAATATGATTTTTACCAGGAAGTTCGAGGTTAGTGTTGGCTAAAGCTTGGAGATGGTCGATGTTGCGGATCATGAATCTCTCATGCTTTATGGTTGGGCTAACATGATGTATTTCAACAATGGTTGTCGCAGGAAGGAAACGGATAACAAACGGATGATCTGTGATCTTGTAAAGGTTAGTGCACCTTCCTACTTCAAATATTCCTATGTTGAAAACTGCATCCTCTCTTAATAGTGGGCGGAATTGATCAGCACGTCCAGCTGGGATGAATCCCTGAATAACAGAATCCTAGGGGACAAAGTAGGGAGTACAAAACAGTTAGAGAGTGTTTGAAGTAGAATATGGATTTCATTGTAGGTGAAATTGTTACCTTCTCATCTAGGATAAGGAGGACAATCCCCATGAATTCTCCATTCTTTTTGATGTTGCGAGCGTCCCAATAACGTAAAAGTCTGCCGACAATTTGTTGTGTTGAGCGACCCAGACGAAGATCATCGAAAGTGACATAATTAGCACTGGCTGGAATGGTGACAATATCAGTTGCAGACATGGCTGATGTTTTTGTATGTAGGAGAGTTCTATATTTTGCAGAGTTTGGAAGTATCGCGTGGGAAAATTGGGGTGTAGATTGGACTATTTATAGTGGTAATTGAAGTAACGGCTGAGGCGAAATTAATGAAGGGACAGTGGAGAGGGAACGTAATTAGGAAGGCATTGAATGTATCATAATGATTTTGGGTGGCTAGGAGTAAGGGTTATGGAAGAATTTATGAATAAATCGGCTATGAGCATTAAACTGTCCAAAGAGGTAGAGGGAAAGGTAAAGGGTGTGTATGTGATCGTTTTTAATTGGGTTTATTCGGTCGTTTAATAAGGCCCAACTTTTTAGTGGAATACCATTTCAGTGTCTTTGGTGAAGACGTAATCATATTGGCATTTGTTGTGTATTGGCTTGAGAATAATGTGTTTGTGATCGTTGTTAATTGGATTTATTCGGTCGTTTAATAAGGCCCAACCTGATTAGTGGAATATCATTTCGGTGTTTTCGGTGAAGACGTAATCATATTGACAATTGTAATGTATTGGCTTCAGAAAAAATGTGTTCCTATACAAAAGTCCAGTAATCATAGAAAGCTCACTTTTGATATTTTTTTTGGCTGAGATGGATACCTTAGATGGAGAGAAGACTCTCACATTATATATATAATTTGGATAAATTCAAAATCTTAGGAATATTTTAAAGAATTTAGTTAAAGTTGCATTCTAAATTCTATCAAATTCCATGATTTGATATTTCTATCTATTGATTTTTAACTAAAAAAGTCATTAAAACCTTTGATCAAAAAAAAAGTCATTCAAACCATTCCAAATTTTTTTTGGTATATATTTTTAAAGAAATTTATATTTTCCAATCAGATGAGATATTAAAAGATTTTTATATTTTTTTTTAACAAATGTTGAACATAATAAGATAGGATTCTAAAACATTCTACAAAATCATTAATACAATTAGAGAAGTTTAAAATCTACCAATCATTGAATCAATATGAATTATGGTTTTCGTTTTATTTGTATTATAATATTGATTTATGGTATTTTTTATTTGCTTTTAATTTGTCAATTTTTTTAAATTTCATATTGAGAGAAAAAAAATATAGAGTTCGAAAAATTCATCAAACCCGGTCGGACCAGATTAATCATCATCGTCCGGTTTGGAAAACATTGTCACCAAAATGATTGATCAATTTGAAATCGAAAGCAGCTCAGGCGCTAAACGCGATTTTCAAATCGTGGAATATAACGGCAATACCGTCGTGGAACATAAGCGGCGAAATTTGCAGCGGAGACGCAATCAACGACGCCGTCACCCTCGAAAGCAGTGATCATAACCCTTTCATCAAATGCCTCTGTCATTATGAAAACGCCACTACCTGTCGAATAATCGCATTGTACGTTCTTTTTTAGTGCCTTACACATGTTCGACGAATTGTCCTAAAGAAAATGATCTTGTTTTTTTTTTACTTTGATTTAGAAAAGTTGGAAACTTTCATCTAAGCTTTTATGGTGTTCGTGCGTAACAGGAAAGTTCGGGCGATGGATGTTACAGGACCAATTCCTGATGAGCTTTGGACTCTGGTTTACATCACACGTTTGTATGATTTTTTCTTATTTTCCGACCAATTAATCTCTGTTTTCAATCGAATACATATTCATAGTGTTTGAGTTAAGCTACTTAATAAGCATTCCAAGTGACCGTATTTTTGGGTTTTTCCAGGAACCTTAATCAGAATTGCTTGACTGGTCCTCTGTCTCCTCGCATTGGAAATCTCAACCTCATGCAGTGGATGTAAAGCAATGATTTTTCTTGCTTTCTTTTTGTTTTTGTTTTCCCTTCAAATCAGCTAATAGCATACTCATTTGCGCGTAATATTCCTAATGATGTAGTACTTTTGGGGCCAATGCATTGTCAGGACCAGTTCCTAAAGAAATCGGACTACTTACTGATTTAAGATCACTGTAAGATGACACTTATTGACTATATAATATGATCATAACTTCTTTGGCAGATTCTTAACGATTCGTCTCTTGAGCCCTCTTTTTACAGTGCCCTTGATATAAATAGTTTCTCTGGTTCTCTACCATCAGAGATTGGAAAATGCAATAGGCTACAGAAAATGTAAGTCCCTGCAATGCTTTCTCCTGCTTCGTATAATCTATTAACGCATAAATACTTACACTTTTCAGAACCGTTTGTTTTTCACAAATATATTAAAAGTTGTGTTCACTTGAGTGATGAGACTCATGTTTATGACAGTTACATCGCAAGTTCAGGACTTACCGGTCAGATCCCTCCATCGTTTGCTAATCTTGTGGACTTGGAAGAGGCGTAAGATATATCTTTGTAGAATATTGTGTTAGATTCTTTTGGAGTTTTGGCTATTCATTTAGAAACGCAAGTATAACTCATAACATTTGAATTTTTTTTTCCATTTTTGTGCTGTATCAGTTGGATTAATGATATCCAACTCACAGGTCAGATACCAGAATTTATAGGAAAATGGACAAAGCTTTCTGCACTGTAAGAAACTTAATATTCCAGCTCTTTGGTTCTGTTTCTATTCTAATCCCAACATGTAGTCTAATGTAAACAATCAACACACACTTGATGGTGTATCATTTCAATATATTAATGGCCGCATATACTCAACATTTGACACTGCAGGAGAATTCTAGGGACTAATTTGAGTGGTCCTATTCCATCGTCATTTGCCAACTTAATTTCTTTGACCGAGTTGTGAGTTTTGGATATATGCTCTTTCTCTTTCACTTTTCCACTTGTTCTTGTTCTGTATTTTGACGGTAATCCGAAATGCAGGAGACTTGGTGATATATCCAATTGTAACTACACTCTCGAATTCATCCGGAACATGACGTCTCTTAGTGTCTTGTAAGGCAGTTCTCTTTAATTTCTACTCAATCTTGATGAGCTTCTAGACTCCTTTAGCTTCTCTCATTCCTCTGTAATTTTCACATTTATGCGAGATCATGCAGAGTATTAAGGAACAATAATCTTATGGGGACAATACCTTCCAATATTGGAGAATATGTGAATCTGCGACAACTGTAAGTATGGGACAAGATGACAAAAATGGTGTTCTGGATCTTCAGATGTTTCGAAAATTTGATTACAAACAATATACATTATTTTGTTGTCCAGTGATTTGAGTTTCAACAACCTTACTGGTGAAATTCCAGATTCTCTTTTCAACTCAAACCAACTTACTCATTTGTAAGTGTATTTTCCGTTTTTTTATCATCACATGCTTTTATTCAGAATTAGCAGACTAACTGAATATAAACATGTTAACCTTCGTTTAGGTTTCTTGGAAATAACAAGTTGAACGGTTCCTTACCCACTCAAAAGAGTTCCTCTCTTATCAATATGTAAGTTCAGCTTCTCTTTACCAGGGAGTCTTCCTAAAACCCAGTCAAGATAATTCAAAGTGATTATGTGCAGAGATGTATCATACAATGATTTAGCAGGGAATCTTCCTTCTTGGGTTAGCCTACCAAACTTGCAACTGTAAGTTGCAGAATTGTCTGCTTAAATTAGTCAGAACATACATTATTTTGCTGAATTTGTTCCTTTTTGTGTTTTTCTTTCTGTAGTAACCTGATAGCCAACCACTTCACATTAGATGGTTCTAACAAAAGGTATCTTCTTGACTACTTGAAGTTCTAATATGTTTCTACATTGCAAGCATAAAGTTACATTCCTAATTATTGTTCGTATTTGGTCTTGCTATAAGGGCTTCCCGGGACTGAACTGCCTCCAGAAGAATTTCCAATGCAATCGTGGCAAAGGAATATGCAAGTGTCTCAGCAAATGCATTTACAATGTTAGGAATGCAAAATCTTGATCAGTATGTTGTTAAATTGCTTCTCTCTTTATTTGGTGTCCAGATTTCAACTTTTCAGTCAATTGTGGAGGCCTAGAAATAAGGTCTAACAGTGGAGCGTTGTACGAGAAGGACGAGGAGGCGCTTGGCCCAGCTTCGTTTTTTGTTAGTAAAACGCAGAGATGGGCAGTAAGCAACGTAGGACTCTTTACTGGGAGTAACACTAACCAGTACATAGCTCTTTCATCATTTTTCATACAATCTCCAAACACTTCGGACTCAGAGCTTTTTAAGTCGGCTAGACTGTCTGCGTCTTCTCTAAGGTATTATGGATTGGGGCTAGACAATGGTGGCTATACTGTAACAGTTCAGTTTTCTGATGCGCAAATACAAGGTTCTAATACCTGGAGAAGTCTTGGAAGGAGAGTTTTCGACGTATATGTCCAGGTCTCTGCTATTACATTGAGCTATCACTTACTGTCTGTATTTGCTAGATTAAAGATTATCTTTTTTTCTTCTTTCAACTAAAGAACATAAAAAAGTGTATTCTTTATATTACGATGTCTGGTGCAAATGTGCAGTATTGGTTTTGTTCAAGTGAAAACCTAACCTTCTCTTCTTTCATTACTGACCTCTGAGTTTCTTTTGTTTTTCAGGGAAAGCTTGTCGAAAAGGATTTTGATATACATACATCAGCTAATCGTTCTGATGTCCGAGTAGTTCAAAGAGCATTTAAGGCAAATGTATCTGAAAATTACTTAGAAATACATCTTTTCTGGGCTGGAAAAGGGACATGTTGTATTCCTTTTCAAGGGACTTATGGGCCTTTAGTCTCAGCAATCAGTACAAGTGACCTTTATGATCTTCGCAAGAGTTGTCATCTCACGATTTGCTTTTCTTCTTTGCAGATTTCAAAGCTACTGTTGGTAATAAGTTACCATCCAAGAACAAGAAAAAAGTTGGTATAATCGTGGGGGCTATTGTAGGAGCAGGAACGAGAAGTATCTTGGTGTTTGCTCTCATTGTTCTGATCATCCGTAGGAAAAGAAAAAGGAAAGCAAATGAAGAAGGTAAAACGCTGTGGCAATGTTGTTGAAGTCTAATCTTGAAAAATTGTAAATTTCAAACTTTGTACTCTCTTTTGCAGTGCTACTTAGTTTGGACATAAAGCCCTACACATTTAGTTACACAGAGCTCAAAACTGCAACTCAAGATTTTGATCCTTCGAACAAACTTGGAGAGGGAGGATTTGGACCTGTTTATAAGGTAATAGTACTGAGCAGGGACTGTGTTATCTGATTTCTCCTTTGACCGACTTCTGAAAATTTTTAGGGAAAACTCAACGATGGAAGAGAGATAGCTGTGAAAAAATTGTCAGTTGCATCAAGGCAAGGCAGTGATCAATTTGTTGCGGAGATTGCAACTATATCAGCTGTTCAGCATCGTAACCTCGTAAAACTCTATGGATATTGCGTTGAGGACGACCAGCGTTTGCTAGTATATGAATACCTCTCAAACAAAAGTCTAGATCAAGCTCTCTTCGGTATGTGCTCATGAACACATCTTAAACATCAGAGGAAGATCCTCTATTAACTTACACGTTTCATGATGATTGTTTCAGAGGAACAGAGTTTGCAACTTAGTTGGTCAGACCGTTTTGGGATATGCTTAGTAGTATGATGGAGACTCTTCACATTGGTTTATCAAAATCTCTTTTAGGAAATCTTTTTTATTAATTTATCAAAGTATGAATACAATATGAGGCGTATCAGAGTAGCCAGAGGTTTAGCATATATGCATGAAGAGTCAAGGCTACGTATAGTTCATAGAGATGTGAAGGCAAGCAATATTCTTCTCGACTCGGATCTTATCCCAAAAATCTCTGATTTCGGTTTGGCCAAGCTATATGATGACAACAAGACGCACATGACTAGCCGAGTTGCAGGGACTATGTAAATCTTCTACTGGTTTTTATAACGATTTTGTTATTACTTTTTTGTTGTTGCTTATTGTTCTTGATGTTATTAATGCAGTGGATATCTTTCACCAGAGTACGCCATGCTTGGACACTTGACTGAGAAGACCGATGTGTTTGCCTTTGGTATTGTGGCTCTAGAGATTGTTAGTGGGAGACCAAACTCTTCACAGAACTTGGATGATGATCAAACATACCTTCTCGAATGGGTATTATTATATCAATTTGGTGAAACTTTTAGTCTCATTTGGTGAAACTTTAGTTTATTTTCTTTACTGATGTTTGCAGGCATGGAGCTTACACGAAAACAATAGTGATGTGGAACTAGTGGATCAGGATCTAACAGTATTTGAGGAGGAAGAAGTGAAACGTGTGATTGGTGTTGCCTTCTTATGCACGCAAACAGATCATACGATACGACCAACGATGTCACGTGTGTAGCAATGTTAGGTGATGTGGAGGTAAATGAAGATGATGCAAAGCCAGGCTATTATCTTTCAGAGAGAACATTCGAGAATGAAATGGGCTTCGTAGAAACAAGGAAGCAGCACTCAACCTCTAGCCCACTCATATCAGAACGTCATTATTGATCGATGTTTAAGAAAGCAGTATGCTAAACCAGTGACTCTGAGTCTAGCAAAGGGTGACCATTAGCCTAGTCCTAATCGAAATCTATACGTTTTTTAGGGGGTTTAGAAAATTTTATAATAAACTAAAAAAATATAATAAACATAATTAAATAATCTTGATAAACACGATCTAACCACACTTGGGGAGGGGATGTGTAATTTAGACAAGCCGATTTGATTTAAACAAATCCAAATTCTAATATCGTTTAAACTATTTAATTTTTCTAACTTGTAGGATCAGTGGTGTGGAGTCTTTGCATTATTTTTTACTGTTTTTATCTTTTGTGTGCAATATGCATGCTTTGATTTGAATATTTTATCTACATATACCAATTTGAGTTTGATTCATAACTACATCATATTTTATTATTTAAATAGAATTTTAGAATATGCTTTTGATGTTGGTTCAGATATAAGTAGTGGCTATGTATAGAAATCAGATTTTACTACTTGTTAAATATCGAATGTAAAGTTAATTATATAATGTTTATCTTTGTTAGTTTTTAAATCACAAACATCAAGTGTATTAGTTGTATATTTAAAAATATGTTTGGTTTAAAAACTCATGTAAACCTATTGCAACTTTAGATATTTATTTATTGTTGATACTAATACTTTAGAAATCAGGAAGAAACTTTTTGAAACTAATTTCAAATTAAATTTGTTTTAATATTTTTTGTCTTTTGATAGTGATTTTTTAATTTATTGTAATTTATATACTTTTTATATGTTTGATATACTGATGACTTATATTCTTTTTATTAAGCTCTTTTGTTGTTGATTTTCTAAATAGGAATCATAGACATCACATTAATTTCTTTTATACAAATGCTTTTTCTTTGGTAAATTTGTTTTGATATGGTCTAACTGTTGAATTTAAATCTTAGATGAAGTTTTTTCAAAAACTTATAACGTCATTTGTTTATTTTAGTTAAGTTTTTCAAAAACTTTAGCTCAAGTCAGTAATCTTTGATACAACTTTTTCTTTTGTTAATTTGCCTCTTTTGATAACAATTCCTATTTTATTTTGAAACATAAATTTATAATATGTTGAAAGCTAAAAAAGCTTTTAATAAAAATATGTTTAATTTCTCATCATATCATAATAGTTTTAAAATAGTTTGGTTTTATATCTAAAAACATAATAGGAAATTAAAGTATGGTGAGGTAATGCATGTGAGCGTACTTACTATGTCAAATAGTCAGTATAATCAGTAGTTGTTTCAATATCTTTGTCAGAAAAAACCGGGTGGAAAAAGTGGAGTACAAAAATAAGACTTCCACATGATGCAATTTAAAACATGGTGTTAAAAGTTAAATAAATCTTATTATCTAATTTATTTTAAGATTCATCATATTTTCATAAAGAATAGTAAAACAATGGTAATTATATGTTTGAGATTACAAACCTTGAAATCTTCTTGGGTTCATAACTGTGGGCAGGAGCACGATAGGTTTGACAAAACTTTTCATTATTTTTCTTTGAAAATTGGTTAAAGAGCAACACAAACAATTAGACCACTGTTTAGAAAATGTAAAAGAGTGCTAAGTAATCATAGATTGTATTCCAGATTATAATATATAAATGAGTTGTTGGAAATACACACTTATCTTTTTAATTGCAAGTGAACATTTATTTTATTATGAATTCCACCATTGGTGATATCATTAGCTTAATTGGACAAAAAAGTGTTTGTCATTGATGATGATCAGTTTTCTAATAGCATCTACACAGTATATAAATTTATTATTATATATTTGAATATGTGCAATGCATTATAAGTTATAAATTTTTTTAATTTATGCTATAAGTTAACTTTTATGATATAAGTTTTTTGGTTAGTTTGACTTTTTTTCCATTAAATTTCAAGGGATATTATATTTTGGTTTTTTTTTTAATATAAGTTTGTTTTATATTTGTCACTTAAGTTTTTTTATTTTATTTTTCCATATACAAAACATTAATATTTATATATTTTCTTGTCAATTAATTTAGAAGTTAGAATTTTTTAAATCTATATTATACGTTTGAGCTTATATGATATTGATTTTTTTTGTTAGTTTATCTCTTTTGAAAATAAATTTCTATTTTATTTTGAGGGATACTATTTTTTTTTGGTTTTTAACATAATTTTATTTTCTATTTGTTACTTAAGCCTTTTAATTTTATTTTTTTCATCTATCAAACAAAATTAATGTTTTAAATTTTGACAGATGCTATATTTTGGTTTTTTAACACAACTTTTTTTTTCTATCTGTTACTTAAGTTTTTTTATTTTGATTTTCCCATCTATAAACGAAACCAATGTTTTATATTTCCTTGTCAATTAATTTAGAAGTTTAAATTTTCCTAACTTATATTATAAGTTTGAATTTTTATGATATTGGTTTTTTTGTTAGTTTTACTCTTTTGAAAACAAATTTCTATTTTATTTTTATGGATACTTACTTTTTTTTGGTTTTTAACATAATTTTTTTTCTATATGTTACTTAAGTTTTGTTTTTAATTTTTTCATGATTAAAATAAAATTAAAGTTTTAATTATACTTAACAAATTTTTTATTTAATGAAAAATACTGATTTGGACTCATCATATCGAGTTTTTTAATCCTATGTGGACACATTTAGAAGCATTTAGAATCAACTTTTATTAGTAATAGATATAACCGAATACTAGTCCAAACCGAAAAGTGGATCAAAAACCCAAAATTTATTTGAAAATTAAAGCTATATTTGACAAAACAAGCCATAATCTACAGCATAATCAAACGGACTAGAGATGTCAATAATACCGCAGCCCGCGGGCCAGGCCCATCTAGAACCGATGCGGGGCGGGCTTGGGCTTAAAAGGTTTGTCCGCCAGAATAGCGGGCCTTTCGGGTTAGACCCGTCCGTGTTGCAAGGCTAACAGGCTAACCTGCTGCGGTTTTGCGGGTACTGCGGACACATTTGAGAATTGTTCATCTTCTTCCTCATCGATCCATCTTTCTCAATTTTTTTCCTGATTTAGCTTTCTCAATCTCTTCCGTCAGCGATTCCGCCATTGTTGGTGTCGATTTACTCCTATTTCCTATTGATTTCTTCTCAAGATGGCGATCGATCAGAAATTAGAGTGTATCGACATCTGAAATTAGAGTGTATCGAAAAGGCATTGTTGCAATCAGATGTTCAATCAAAGTCTGATAAAAGTCCGGTGACCGTTGCTGATTATGGTTAGTTTTTCTATTTGAATCATTACTGAGACTAAAGTGTAATCACATCATAGCCAATGCTTTCTGAACAAGTAAACTGTCTTTGTTTTGAGTTTCAAGTTCACAAGCCGTTGTTAGTTTTGTCTTAGAAAGGGAACTCAATTCTGAACCCTTTTCACTGGTGGCTGAAGAGGTGAAGCAGCTTAATAAATAAACACAGAAACAATACTTATCTTGAAATTTTTTTTATGTTTCAAGACTCACATTGTCTTAAAGCTGTATGTATAAGACTCAACAGATCTACACAAAGACGGTTCTCAGGATATTCTTGAGCGCATCACGAAACTCGTCAATGACACTTTTACTGGTCCTGCTTTATCCACATATGATATACTCAGAACCATTGACTGTGGAACATCTGAAGGTGATCCAAATGGTTGACATTGGGTCTTGGATCCTATTGATGGCATGAAAGGGTAAGCCTCAGAACTATCTACCCCCCAAAATGGTACACATAACACATTGATATAATAATGTCATTAGAAAACGTAGTGTTCCTGACACTGAGCTTGTTTGGCGATTTCAATATTTTTTAGAGGAAATCAGTACGCAGTAGCACTAGAATTGCTCAAGGAAGGGAAAGTAGTTTTAGGTGTTCTTGCTTGTCCAAACTTGCCGTTAGCTTCCAAACTTGAACCGTTGAATGTGGTGCACTGTTGAATGTTTTTTGTTCCTTGTAACTTTGTGAGAATGGCGTAATTTTGTTGAGAGCTTTAGTTTCATATCACTTATCTCCTTAGGTCACTTTAGTTTCATGTCACTTATCTTCTTAGGTCATCAGGCGTTTACATGAGTGCTTACGGTTTATTTGACCTTGTGGTGTTTTATAACATGTATTTTGTTCTTCTCTGTAAGCTTAGGATCAGTTGTCCGCAACCCGCGGCGGGCTGATCCGCACACATATAGAATTTTAAACCCGCTGCGGACAAGCTCGTGCGGGGCGCAGGCTGGCCCGTTGACATCTCTAAAACGGACACGTGAATGATGATGATGCATTAAACTTATACAACGAAATGGAAAACAAAAGAGTTATACAAAATGTTATTACATACTACTCTCTCATAAGTGGCCATTAAATTACGGTTGATGTAGTAAAAATACTTCGCAATGTCTAACTCAAAAAAACCACAAAATTATTTATTTATACTAAATGAAAGCAATTCTTTGGGTTTCAGAGGTCATCCACCTCAGTTTTTTAAGAAGCTCTGGACAATTGCCACATTATCATTAATCTTATTTCGTTTTTAAAGGTGCTACATCATTCTCTCATCTATCAATATTAGAAAAAAATATTTTGGGCCTGAAAACCAAATACACGCTAGACCAGACCAATATATTATTGACACACAATGCACATCTCCATCAGTTTATCATTCATTGATTCAGAGATGCAAAATTTAAATAGACGTATTTTCTCCCTTTCGCTTTTCTATCTGATGGCTGTTTACCTTCTTCACTCCTTCACAAATCAACTGTTACAGTTGAAGACATCCATTAACGCGTTAAAATCCATTGTCTCACTTCTTCTCCTTCAAAAGTCTCCTTCTGGCTGACTTATCCTCTCCCTCTCCAACAGTTTCGTTTCAGATTTCCAAATGTTAGGTGGATTCTTATCAGCTCCAATGATGCCATACCACATGAATCAAAAACCATTAATTTGGAAAAGACGATGGAGCAATGGAGAAAATTACAATCATATCCTATTTACTCAATGTACGTTTAATCTACCATTTAAATAGATATTCCCTTCGATCTTTTATGTTTTCTTTCCCTAGCATATTATTATGAGAAAACTTGATTGAAATATAAAATAAAGGGAACGATGGGATGACGACAAGGCAAAGAGATGGAAGTCATGTTTGGGTAGGCTTGGTTGTAACCATTGACATGCAAGAATGGAAAGAGTAGAGGGTGATAGATTGCTATATTAGAGAATTTTAGACTGTATTTCATGAATTTTTTTCCTTGTTTTTGCATTATAGTTTACCATTTTAGACTCATTTGCACTTAGAATCAACATTGCATGCATTTACTTTAGAAATGCATACATTTGCATACATGTGCATGTTTGTGGCGATTTTCAGGTGTTTTTAGAGGTTCTTGGAGTTGGGAAGGAGAT